AAAAATTAGAATTTTGAAAAAAAAGAAACATTTTTTTAAAAATATAGTTTTTTTCTGTACAGTTAATCATTATTGCAACTATTAAAATTATTATACAGTAACGATCTATTTTATACATTTCAAAAAATTAATGGAATTTCCTAAAAATTAATACAGAAATAATGTTAAAATCATGTAATAGTAGTAAGAGAAAGGGAATTAGTGATTAATTATATCATTCTGTTTTTTCTATAAACAACTTTTTCACGTAAACACGCTTATGGAATAGGGTAGCTATATTTTTGTAATAATTAATCACCACTGACCATTAATTCGGCAAACTATAATTGAATAAATTATTTACTATCAGAGCATCTTTTAACATCTTCCTAATCAATTCATTAATAAATTAATTATGCATGTTTATAGATTGATTTATACATCACTTAATAAATATTTATCATTTTGCAAACTTTTTTTTCTTCCAATATCAGTAATAAAGTTAGTAATCAAATACTAACTAAATAGGAACCGAATATGCTGCATTAATGTAACAAAGTACTTATATTGCACGATTTTAGAATTGCTACTAATTAATTCAAATTTCTTGTTTTAAACCAAGAGAAAGGAAAAAATAATTATGAAGAATTGTAATTCATAATAATAATTGTAAAGAATTTAATCATTATGCAGTCATTGTAGTAATTTCGTATTCTCTGTAGTAATTTTCGTAATTTCGTCGTAATTGCAGTAATTTTGTAATCTCATTTTTTCGTAGTTTTATAATTTCCACAGTCAAAAAATATAATTTGTCATTCGTTATAATTATTTTTTCTTTTTTTTTTGGTTTAGAACCAAAAATTGGATTAATTAGACAGTGATTCTAAAGTATGCAATATAAGTATGTCGTTAAATTACAGTTATTACCATTACTATATTACCATATTATTATCGCATTATAATTCATCGATATTATTAACATGTACATTATTCCGTATTGTTATCAACACAGCTAATTAGCATTGAACTTTATCATAACTATTATTATCATCATTGTTACTGTCAGTGCTGTAATTGTTATCATGTTATGATTCACCGATATTATTAGCGTTACTGCAATCATCCATCGTTATCACTACATTTATTAGCAAGCAATAACAAAATGATTATATGATTGTTTATGTTAGATTGTAATAAATTTTCAAGCTTAATTATCTTTTCACATAATTTATATTTCAATTTCAATTTTAATTGCTAGAAATTTATAATCAAATAGAACCTTATTCACAAATCTTAATAAGCTTTAATTAATATTTTTTTTTCTCTCACTTTATTTAACCTTTTGTTCTTCTATTCTCAGTATTTTCAGACAGAAAGATTCTATGCTACTAGAAAAACTAAACAAATATGCAAGGAAAAGTCATTCAACATCAATAAGCCTCATTGATACATACAGTAATCGACGTCGTCCAACAATTGTCAGCAATGCTTTTGAAGATATCAAATGCACTGAGCTACAAAAGGTGCCCGAAAATGAACCAACTAAAAAATTAGAACACATCGATTTTCATCACATTAATGAAAGGCGAGAATGAATTTTCAAAATTACAATTATTATAAAAATTCCAAAAAAAAAAAAAAAATTGAGATCATGTTTATCAGGCTGTTGATTTTTGAAATTAACAAAAAAAAGTATTTTTTTTGTCTGAAAACTTCTAAAATTAAATTTTAAATAAATTTTTTCAATGTCGTTTTACATGCGCAATATAAAATTGAAAGTTTCAAATTTAAAAAAAAAAAAAAAGTTGCTGAATATTTTTTAGAGTAGAAAATTTACGAAAACAACTTGAAAAAGCAATGAATGATTTACCGAATCAATCACCGCGAAAATTGTTCGATTCCAAAAATGAAAAAATTGAATTATTAAATGAAAGTAGAAAGTTTGCTGGGGCCTGTAAAGTTTGTTTTTTTTTTCTTTTAAACTGTAAATTCGTCAAGAAAAATGAATAAGTTAAATAAATTTTTTCAAAATTCCTGGCAGAAAAGAATTATTAAGAATACTCTCGTTGTAATACAATTGAACTTTAAAATTCAATATTTGCGCCAAATTTCGATTTGTACAGAATTAATTTTCATCACTGGACCGATAGAAATTGAAATAATCCAACTGTTTGGATCATTATGTGGTATCAGTGCTGAAAAGAAAGCATCGATTTGTGAAAAAAAAAAAGGCTTATAATGGTCTTGATTAGATTTGAAGTATGATCTGGCCCAATGTAGAATTAATCTTCTTGCAAGTTTCAAAAAATACTTCGAGAATGAAAATTCCTTTTTACGTCTTCGAATCGTACGTATCTTTTAGAGACCATAATCCGGCTCAAGCAAATTTTAAGCGTAAAAAACTTGTTGCAAAAAATTATATCTGCACGATAAAATTTCCATACAGTTTCAATATTTGTTGCATTCAACGTTAAGCTTTCTTCTTTTTATTTTTTCAGATTATTATACGCACTTAGCATAAAATGATATAAAAGTATGCCAAATTTAGCATACTGTATAGTGAAAATAATTTTAGAGAATGCTAAATGAAATACACAATATTGGAAGAGGAAAAAATTGGTCACAACTAATCGAGGAAGTATTGAAAGCAGCTGAAGGAGTAACTCAAATAACGGAACGAATAATTCAAAAATCAAATTCCATCTTTCAAGCACAATTAATGGCCACAAAAACTGAACAGGTTAATTAATGTAAATGAATGATACATAACAGATTGATTGGTGTTTTTTTTTTTTTTTCAAAAATTAACCAAAATCACTTCTTCGTATTTTTAATACTGCAATGGAAATCATTTGCCAAGATCTTAATCTCAAGTAATTATGAAAGATGAAAGGGAGGTATATTTATGATTGAATTTATTGAAATAACCAACTCAAAATTACAGTAGAAAACAAGATATATTATCCTATTTAACTATTACTTATCCATGTCTTCATGGCCGACACTATCTGAAATAATTTTAATCATTTTAATAGCATTAGGATATTTGCATACATCGTATGTCTTCATTATGGACACATACGTAAAATGATATCAATTACTGGATTAGTAAATTAAGAAGTCATGAATTGTTTCTAATTCACTAGAAAATATGGCTAAGTTTCTCATAAAATATGGCTAAGTTTATAAAAATTGCAAAATTACAGATAAATGAAGTAAAAAAAAAAAGTTTTTTTACAGATGCTCAAATCACTTCTGGAAGTGTTACAAAGTATTCAAGAAGTACAAGCAAAAGATGGTGATAGTATGAAACTGTTGACAGCACGAAGTACAACGTTAACAGCAACTGTAAGACAACTGTTATCAACCGTGTCATACTCATAAATCACGTATTCCATAGATTCCGTTCAGTTCATAAATCGTGTAAATCGAAACAAACAATTCATTTCGTAATATTACACCATAATTAAAGGATTTTACGGCTCTGTCTGTCGATACAGTCAAGGAGGTGTTAAGAATTTGCGTTAAAAAAAATAACATTTTCTAAACTGATTACGAAAGGTGAAAGGTGAAAGATGGAAAAGCTCCAATTGTTCATTTCTTTGAATCCAGAAGATATGAGACTATTGCACTGTTGCAGAGCTATAAGGACCGGAAGAGTGAATCACATGATGTTAACTATTCGGATAAAAACTGTAGTTTATCAGGTTGTCAGTTCGAATTTATCAGGTTATCAGTTCGATTTTGAAATGTAAAGCGATAAGCAGCACGATGTGAAAACCATCGTTAAAGGAAGAAAACAAATTTGAGGTTGTATTGAAAATTCGATGGCAAAAATACTTTAGTATGAATCAAAAATGATTGTTTGCATTGATGAGGTATAGCGGAATATATTTTTAAAAATTTGAACAATAATTATGAAAATAAAGAAACAATTGAGCTACTCCAAACATTTAGAATCATTTCCAGAAAAGACAAAACATTTTCAAACAAGAAAACCCGTAACAATTTTCAAACAGAAGAAAAAAGCGCAAAACAGGCAACACATAATGAGCACAAAAATTAATTTTTCCTTACAAATTCTCATATTTAATGTTTAAGGCAACACATGTTAGCACTCAAGAACACCTACTGGTCACGGATTCAGAATTATTGATTTAATCAAAAAAATTCGGCGATTTAACGTTCCAGAATTCTAATGATGTTGAACCTTATGCAAAGTTTAATAGAAATAAACTTATTAATCTCCTCTCTAAAGAAATCAAATCGAATTCACTGCTTGGACCAAAACCTGTTACCTTGTCATTTTTAAGCTTGACTTGCCTAAGACTCAATAACATCGGTCAAACCGCAGGATTTTAAAATGAAAAACATTCGCAACCTGACAATGTTGACAGCAACAATATGTTAATGAAAATGAAACAAACAAATAATCAAATCGACTAAAATGAAAAAGAAAAGTAATTCAGCAAGAAAAACGACTAAGAGTGACACGTAACTTTTTTGGAATCTTGAAGATGTTCAAAATAGAATCAGAAA